TTCTCTTTCCTCCTAGGTGAAAACTCTGGAATACATCAAGAAGCGAAGCAAACACCCAGACATGGGGCATCTGACCGAGCTGGCCCTCAGGCTCCCTCTGCAGACGAGGACCTGACCCTAGGGGCTCTGGTGCCAAGTCCAGAAAGACCTGTTTTGCGTTTTTGTTTTTATTTTTACACACGTACAGATTGGCTTCTCTCCTAGATTATTCTGCCAGTGAAGTGAACAAGCGGGAGCTGTCAGAGCATTCGAATCCACTCCTGCTCACTGAGCACAGCATCTTAGTGTTTCTTTGCACAGGGTGGCCTTCAGATGGGCCTTTAGGGAAAAACTGAAGAATGCAAGTAACATCTTTCCTTTCTGGAAAGTGTTTTTTAATTGGAAAAAGAACCTTGGAAAGCAGTCCACTTTGACAGACCCACTGTGCTCTTTCCCTAATTTGCTTTATATCAAAATCAGCTCTTGATTGATTGGATTTAGAATATGCTGGTGGATTAAAGGAGAAAGTGAGGTCAAATCTGAGATTCCCTGTGGCTTCGATGGAAAATATACTGTAACTGAATAAACCTCCTGAAGGAACACTTAACGTTCATGACTGACTGTTCATTTAATTACAGTTGACTCTCATGCGGAAGAGAACGTGTCTAAACATACCACCTGGTTTTCTTGCAGCCATAACCCTAAACAGCATATGATTCTGTCTACTTTTTTTATCAGTTTGGCGGAATCTGATTCTTGTATTACCACTAATGAGCTAACACTGACATTTTGAATCAGTAAGAGCATTAATATTGGTGGTGGTGGTGACTCACAGCCGAACCCCTTGTGCAGGAAAATGCATCCAAGTTGTGGATTAAAAGTGCTCCCAAACTATTGTACTTTTGGAAGGTATACACTGAATGTAGATAGACTACATTTCACCTCTACTCTGTGAGAAGCCTGATTACAGTCCACACAGTAAAAGTAGCTAAAATTTTTTTTAATTTACATAAACTCGTGTTTTAATTGAATAGCTCAGGACCAAGAATATGCTATGGATTTTCCGGCCCGCTTAATAGTGAACCCCACCCCACCCCACCCCAATGCAAGGATTCTGTTGAGAAAATGGCCTCCGTTAAGGAACAGTGTGTACTGAAGAATGCACCTCAACTGAACATAACATTCAGAAAGCACGGTGGTATTGCTCAAATGTTCCCAAGCCGCCTTTATTTCACAAAATTATTTTCATTAAAATTATTTCCTATACCACTTTTACTATATGATACTATTCAAATGAAACTCAATCAGCAAATTTACAAATTATGCACTTTTAAGTCACCTACTTTGAGGCTGTACACATCAGACAGCATCAGCGCCCAAGCCTGAGTCAGTGAATTCCTAATGCTCTTCCTTCCATTAACCTGGACTTGGACTTTCACGTTCGGTCAGGTATCCGTTACATCAAAGCAGCCTCTGAACCATATGTTACCTGGCCCAGGTGGAAGCTTAGATTTTCTATGTTCTTGTGTGGTTTCCTCAGCCTGTTACTAAATCAATTAGCCAGTCTCTGAAGACCATGGCCTACGTGAGGTGAAGTCTACTGCTACGACTACATGAAGGATGATGGAACAACAACACACAAAAAAATCAAAAAATTTTAGGAAATCAGGTGAAAGTGAGAAAAACTTCTGCATGAGGCCTGTATTAATTTTCTATTGCTGCTTTAAATTACTACAAACTTAGTGGCTTAAAACATCAGTTTTACCACCTCACAGCTCTACTGGTCTGAAGTCCAGTGGGCTTACCTTCAAAGTGAAGGTGTCAGCTGGGCTGTATTCCTTCCGGAGGCTCTAGGGGAGAATCAGTTTTCTTGCCTTTTCCAGCTTCTGGAGGCCGCCTGCATTCCTTGGCTCGTGGTCCCTTCAACTTCAAACTAGTGACAGCTCGTTGAGTGTTTCCTGCAAGTCTCGACTCTTCTGTCCCCTCTTCTACTTCTAATCCTGGATTATCTGGGTAGGCCCAGTCTAATCATATTAAGGTCAGCTGATTAGCAAACAATTCCATCTGCTACCTTAAACTCCCTTTTGTTTTGTATCACAACATATTAAAAGGTTCCAATGATTAGGACTTGGGCGGGGCATGGGGGCATTATTCCAACCACAAACCTGATCGGTTCTAAGTTTGCAGCGCTGAACACACAATTTTTAAGGGGAGAACTGTGTCTATCTGGCAAATACTTTTGATGGGCCAGTCTAGTTACAGAAAGGTGGCCTCAGGGAGGGGCCTAGTGGGCTAAGGCAAAACAGCAGGAA